GTGTTCATTTCATTATCTGAAGAAGTGGGGAGTTAAGCACCCTCGAAAAGTTCTGTTGAAATAATAACTTAACATCCTTATTGACTTATCCTCTATTGTCCTACATTAATCTTTATAATAACGATAATAAAACTAGTGGTGAAACAAAATGGTTCACACTTCCCGCATTAGTTTTCTAACTCTTTAGTCTACGCTAGCTTTTCGGTATTGCAACAACCTCTTCCCAGTTGCTATTTTATCAGCGTCTAAAAGGCATTTTTTCACATATCTGAATATTTCGTAACACATATCCCCTAATTGCAGAATTGAAATATGATTTTAAAATATTTTAAAGAAGTAAAAATAGTTCTGTAAGCAAGTTTTTGTTTAAAAAATTGCGTCGTTCTTTAGACAAAGACGTTTGATCGTTTCTGAAACAACTCAATTAGAGCTAATTTTCGCAGAAAACTGTCTATTTCGAGAATGAAGTTTCTCGAAGTTGTGCAGCACTTTTGTTTAAAAATAAAATAAAATTGCTAATATTTCTCACAAAATTAAGCAAAGACTATGCATGTTATTGAAATATTGTTTCATTGTTTCATGGTAACACTTCAAGATATCTCTTAAAAGAATATATTTTATTAAGGAAAAATCTCTGTCCTCAATATTGTAGTTGTAGGAAAACGTCGAATAAAATAAACTTTTGCAATTTTCGAAATATTAGAAGTTTTAACGAAAATGAGACCTACACCATTCTCTTAAGCGTTCTTTACGCTATCCGTGGACAAACGTTAATAAAAAGGTGAGATCAGTTTTAAGAAAATATTGAAGCTTCATGTAATGTAGCCTCAAAAATTATAATATCAATTTCAAATTCGCACTCAACCCGTGAGTGCGTTTAGATCGATCGGAGGATATCAATTTGGGAGAAAATCGTCTGAAAGTGTCAGGTGCTAGCACACAGGGGGACGGAGAGATGAACGGATGACGGACGGACGAACTGACGGACTGACGGACTGACGGACGGCCTAACAAACGGACGGTCGGGCAGAAGGAACGACAGACGAACGGACACACGGACGGACACAGACGTTTGCCGTAAACCAATTGTTCGGTATTAAAGACCGTCAAAACGTGTATTCTGACTACACAACGTGTTAGAGAATGGAATATACTACAATAAGAAGAACATGTATCACTTGTTTTGGCATCGGAATCTTACAAAACGAATATTTGCCGAAACATTGCTGTTTTTCGCTGCAGCATTGCATATTTCTCTCTCTGACATTTGCCCGGCAGCAGTGGCCGAGGCAACATCGTGTGCTCCGCTCATTGTAGCCCCGCGGTCTGTGACTAGTTAGTGCGTTTTCATCGAACTGAAGAAGTTTAAGTGACAGTGTAAAGTGAGAAGTCTGCTGCCTTATATAGAACTGTTCTGATTACGATATTCCTGTTTGTCATTTTGAATGGGGAACAGATATTAAATGACTGATACCGAAGAGGCTACACGTGGACAGGCCTCTGACTACAGGAGAAAGAAACACGTTGAAGGAAACCCGACCAACCGTCCAAATTACAATAGAGTGGCTTTCAATGCCATGTACCCAGAGAAGGAACCAGGTATTATAATTGAAGGCAAAGACCACAACACACCGCTCGAAAGATAGAAGCTTTAGCAACGATTGTTCCGCCTAGTCACATCACGTATGCATCAAAAATTTAAAATAACAGTGTGTGTGTATTTTTGAACAGTAAGACGTTAGTAGATTAATTAACAGAGAAGCACAAGACTATTAGTACTGAGGGCTCCTCCCAAAATATTCGGTCTTTTGTGAGTAGACAGAAGCGTTTTGCAATTTCAAATGTTTATCCTATCATTCCTAACGCAGAAATTAAAGATGAACTACACAAAATTAAGTAATACGCAGTTCTCCAGTGTCATTTCTCATAGCTGGTTTTGGTAAAGAGCAGTTCATTCACATCTTCAGATTCCGTTAAGACAGGTGTTCGTACCGGGACACTCATTAAGATACCCAAAGCCATACTGATCACATACAAAGGAGAAAGAAACTGGATGTACACGTCTAGCGGAACTACTAACATTTTTCACTGGGAAGGTCACATTGCGAAAAACTACAAAAATATAGGAGACATTGACTTCAACCAATCGGAAGAAATAATTGAAAAAAATGTAGCCCCTGACAACGAACAAAGAGACAAGATACCTAGCTACCACGAATTTTTCCCACTCGACTAAGGGAAGCATATTAAGAGAGGCTTATCATCATAGATCACAAGCACTCCCAGCAACACTTAAAATGAACTTCAAGAAGGACAATTCAACTGTCCCCAAGGAAGAATTAACGGTAAAACTAAGATAAAGAATACGAAGGCATCCAGGGAGAACACTATTAGTAGCGGCAGCTACAAGAAAAGCATAGTGGAGCAACTAGCTTCAGGGAAAGAAAGAATGGATGGATCCAACAATGCACTTACGTCCGAGCAACTGAAAGACGTTTTGGAAAGCACGGCTCAATTTAAACCCCCTTCAAATCTCTCTCAGTTACACCAAACATACAGGGAGGCTAATTGAAATCCTCAACGAAATATACCCATTACTGCCTGATAGAGGAATAAAATCCAGATTTACCAGAATTATGAGGAAACTGAAGGATTCCATCAGCTCAGATTCTTCAAAAAAATCGTCCGACAACGATGAATTAACAAGCGAAGATCTTCAAACATGATGACAAGAATTCTACATTGGAATGTGAACAGTTTTCAAGATAGATATTAATTTCTTAAGCATATTCTAAAAGACGACAACTGTGGTGTACTGTGCATACAGGAAATCTATTTAAACAATAAGCCCCATTTGATATAAAAGGTTATCAATGTTTGTATAAAAATAGAGTGGCATGTGCAAATGCCAGTGATGGTATGAATCTACGTTCATAAATCAATCAAGTGAATGCGCCATTACAAGTGACCTAGAAGTATGTGTGATACAGCTGCAAATTGGCGGCAGTAGCATTCACTTGTGTAATGCACACATTCCTAATGCGTTTCAACTAGAATCTCGCCACCTAGGCAATTTACACTCACAAATATCCGGCCCGGTACTGATAGTCGGTGATTTTAATAGTCACAACTTCATTTGTGGATCAAGTAAAATCGATCGTAGTGGGAAAATTGTCGGTGAATTTGTGAATAATGAAGATCTAATGGTCTTGAACGACTGCAGAAAATCTACATACTTTAACGCGGGCAGCGGCAACTCAACTTGCATCGACCTAAACATCTGCACTCCAATGACTCCAATAACTCCATGCGTTCCATCCGAAATGAAACGTGATGGAAGGCCTTCACAACAGTGATCATGACCCCATAATATTGACAAATGAGAATTTGATTACCCTTGAGGATATCTATACGCCCAGATGGGTATTTAAGAAGACCAACTGGAAGTCGTACCAAGACATCATCACAGGCAAAGTTCAGAACCTTAATAAATTAAACATCGCCGATTCAGTACAAATAAACAATATTCTGAACAACTTTACAGAACTTATACCGTCTACAGCGGATGTGACTATTCCAAAAACAAAAAATACTATAAGAAAAAAGAAACTGTCTTGGTGGACAAAGGAATGTGAACAAGTTACGAATTACAAGCACTGGTTTAACATAAAACAAATATAAATCAATTCAGGCTTAAATCAGCACGAGCCATGGCCAACCAATCATAAAAGGATCTAAGAGGAGCTGCTGGAAGGAATGCATATTCTCAAACAATAAAGTGAACTACTCGGAGGATTGGAGTCATATAAACGCCATTGATGGAAAATCTAAAACAAAATACCTGAAGCCTATATACACGCCAGATGGTCAATTCATTGAAGACACGCGAGACATTGCAAATAGCTTAGGAAAGTTTTTCGCCCCCAGCTCTAATGATGCAAACCTAATAATAATAATAATAATAATAATAATAATAATAATAATAATAATAATAATAATAATAATAATGCCTTTATTAATGGCGAGACTGGTAGAAGCTAAACCTCGCAGATGGCTTCAGAAATCATAAAGAAGAAACTGAGATATCTCCCCTAAACCTAGAAGTAGAAGAAGATGAAAAAGATTCCATACAACGAATGCACCCATTACGTTTCGAGAACTTAAGATCAATACATGTCAACTAAAAGACACCAGCGTCGGTCCGACGGAATACCTAACATTTTTATCCGGATGCTCCGTGAAGAAACTATCAGTGTTCTTCTAAACATTTACAATTATTTATATTTAAACAATGTCTTTCCACAAAAGTGGTCAGAAGCTGTTATTGTTCCAATTCACAAAACTGGTATGGACAATTTTTTAATAGAGAGCTACAGACCTATTGTCCTAACTTGTTGTCTGTGTAAATTACTTGAGAAGGTAGTGAACCATTGATGTAAATGGTACCCAGAGAAGCTTTTCAATGGATCCCGGCTCGTGTGAATATCATCGATAATGAGCTGTACCCATCTGTAAGTGTCACAACTTAAAGAAGGAAGCAATCTTCCCATAATACTACAGGACTATCATGCCAGCAGCAAGAGAAAACTACAATAACTGGGCAAACAGGAATGGAATAACAACACTCGCTGCCAATTAAATAGTATTTGTGAATACGATGACTGTAATCCAGCCACATCCTTCTGCAGAGCTGACCAGGTCGTTTTACCTAGATGCAGAATAGGTCACACCAAGCTCACACATGCCCATCTGATCACCGGGAAATCGGCTGTAATGTGTAATGTTTCTATGTACATTAATCATTTATTCAATCACAAAAGTAATGTTATTATGTAGATGTCACTAAAAACCTTTTGTAGTTGATGCGACATAAAATAAATAGATATAAAAAAATTCTCTATAGTACGAATGTAATATACGTAAAGTAGTAGAGTAAAATCGAGTAAAATAGAGTAAAATCGATCGCGAGTGTCTCGCCGCCGAAGGGATTAGGCCGTTACCGCGAGCTGAGGCGGCACGTCGCAGTCGCCTGCTGCGGCAGCGCCGGCGAGCGTCGCCAGCCTCAGCAGAGGCAGCAGCGCCGGCAGGAGCACGAGGCGCGCGCCCATGGCGGCGGCACACCGACACGCGCGCAGCGTCGTGGCACTCGGGCTCGTAGCGTCGCGTGCGGCCGCGAGCAGCCGACTGCCCTACGCCGCCGCCGCCGTCACTACCGCCGCCTCCACCGCTGCTGCCGCATTC